ACATTTGATCGAATAGACATTTGATCGAATAGACATTTGATCGAATGGACATTTGCTCGAAAAGACATTTGCTCGAATAGACATTTGATCGAATAGACATTTGATCGTTTCCCTTCTTTATTCTACATATATTCACAGCTTGAAAAACTATTGATGGTAACTGTTTCCAGAGTTTCAGCTTTACTTAATGGATGGTGCTACTAGTACTCTAATGTGATGGGTCCTGGATGGGTCAAGTTTATTTTTTTAGTTACATCTGTGTCAGATTGAAATCTTTATTGAAGGTTTCAAATGTTTTAAATAGAGATATTCATTATTTACATTCAAAATATAATAACAATGTTTATACATGCATTAATGAGTGATTTATTTATAAAAGCATTCATTAAATTAGGAAAATTTCTAATTTTATATTAAACTGCAAGCTTAGCAGTTTATATTTAATGTAAGTACACGTACAGTCTCATTGTCTGCTATGCAATAATAATTAAGGTTGACAATATAGTTTATTTGTAATAATAAACTAGAAAATTGTGCTTTGATTAAATTTATATAAATATACCTATAATTTTCAATTTTAATCGGTCATTACTTGTTCTATTTGTTCAATTAATTATTAACTTTTATTAATAATAGTGATGCATATAAAATTTATATTTAAAAAATTAAAATTCAAAAAATTGTTTTTTATCATTAAATTGTTTTCATTTGTGACATTACAGGCTCAACGATAAATATTATTTTAATAATATATCTACGGAATCGATTCGATTTTTCCTTATCTGCTCTAACTTTTCGACCAAAGGGATATAAGTGAAATTTATCTTCTTTATAAATTTTAAATACTCGTTTCATTTTTTCAAGATGAATAAAAGTAAAAGTGTTAAAATGTAATATTGTATATACCTATATATATTATATATGTTTCAGATAGTTTTTCGTTTGTAAACTCTGAGAGATATTAAACATTTTTGTTAAATTATAATTTCTGAGGGGTCAATCCAGTGGACTAGCGGCTTGAAGGCAGATTCAACCGAAATATATAATGTACAGACGCGTCTGTATGCTCTCCCTGGTATCCAGGAAAAACCAATTATTTATGTTCGAGTTGTTTTTAACAATTTAATTTAAATTAAACATTTTAATCTAACAAAATGTTTTTTTTTATAAAAATAATTTTAATTTTCTCAATAATTAAATTACTTTCATTAATAATAGCATTTTTCATGGAAATCCAATTATTTAAAAAATTTTTTGATAATATTGTAATCAAACGTTCCATTATTTTTTTAAATATTAAAATTCTTCTCAGGAATTGATTTAGAAGAGAGTGGGGCACAATGGGGTAGACGGGTCAAGTTAATTAAATTTTTTTGAAATAATTCAATTATTCTTTTAGATTTTAATTAAATTTATATCAAGAATTTAATTATTTATACATAAATAATTCTTGGAAAGAATTCAATTTTATTATGACTTGAATAACAAAATTATTCTATAGAAAATTTAATTATTTTTATAAATAACAATTTTTAGCATAATTATTCAATTACTATAAAATTATTTATTAAAAAATTCTAATAAAATCATTTGCAAGAGTTCAATAATTTTTATAAATAATAAAATGCTTTTTAGGAATTAAATTATTTTTAAAAAAATTTAATAAAATATATAACACACAGACATTCAATTATTGTTAAAAAGTTAAATATAATTCTTGTAAAATTTAATTATTTTAAAACATTTTTTACAATTCAATAATTTTTGTCAATATCTATTACACGAGGATTTAAAATTTAAATACATTTCAAATTTATTTTTTTATAACAAGTTCTAAACGCTAAATTACAATTACAGTGGAACTTCGATTTTCCGTCAGGCACGGGACCAACACCTTAACGGAAAACCAAAATGACGGATAGTCGAAGTTACAAGTGATTTGAGATTTTTATAACCTATACTTGTCTAAATTTTGGACTTCAACATGTAAACAAACAATTTTACAAAACAATTACACAATTAGTTTAAAATTTGTATTAAAAAAACGTAACATCTTTTTTTTTTATTTAAAAAAGCCGAAAACAGACTGAAGAAAATATCTAATTATCGTTTGTGAAAAATTCGTAGAGAGGATTAATCAAAATAAGAATAATATTTTCCAAAAACTCGATGGCTGTTGGACGATCTGGCCCTTGAAGCCTTTCCCATTGTTCTAAAATTAACTGATCTTTTACCAGGACACTCATTTTGGGAACTCTGCTAACTCTTAAGCCACGTCGTAACGAAGCCATATCATATCTGAGGGACTGTTGATAGTCGACTACTATCTCTATTAAATAAATATATATATATATATATATATATATATATGTTACGCATGCGCAGTAGTATTCTATCAATGTCAGGCATGCACAGCAGTGTTCGGACAATGTTACGCATGCGCAGTAATGTTCTGACAATGTCAGCCATGCACAGTAGTGTTCGGACAATGATACGCATGCGCAGTAGTGTTCTGGCAATATTACGCATGCGTAGTAGTGTTCTATCACTATAACGCATACACAGTAGTGTTCTATCACTTTAACGCATGCGCAGTAGTGTTCGGACAATGTTACGCATGCGCAGTAATGTTCTGACAATGTCAGCCATGCGCAGTAGTGTTCTATCACTATAAAGCATGCGAATAACATTCAGAACTTCAAAATTGAATTTTTTAATCCATACATAATCTAAAAATTATTTTTCTACAATACAAAATTTCCAAAGCTCAAAATGTCCAAAATATGAAACTTTTAAAATAAGAAGTGTTGAATTGTAATGTAAGTGAAGAGAATTAGATTATTGAGTATTGAGATTTAACAATTCTATTTCTGTGTAAGATGTTTTTAAAACATCATTATTGTCAATGTTTTACAAAAATTTAAATAACTTCTAAAAACATGAACAATTTTAATGATCTTAAGCTTACTTTAAAGATTATTTTCTACAGAATGGGAATTACTTGTAGACATTAACGTGTAATTTTTTCTTAGAAATTGCAGGTCGGCAAAGTTATACACAAAAATTTTAATTTGAAATAATTTTTTTGTACAAAAAACTATCCTTCAAAAAATATAAAACATGATATGGCGTAGATTTTTCAAGAAAATTTAGTAAAAAAAATATGTTTGAATTTTAAAAAATAATTTTTCTATTAACCCGTTGCCTATTAACGACCGTTGGGTAGTCAACTTCTTAGCGCAAAATAAATGCAATTTCTTATGTAATTTATAAAATAAATAACGCATGATATTGTTTTTATATAATTATTAACACACTATTGATTGCAATGATCCTAAATTAAGTAATAAATAAATGATTATTTATTATTTTTAAATGATACACTGAGAGACCTTTGGGTCAGCAGCAGACTTTCGATAGGCTGCTACTGACCATTTTGGAGGAACGCTACAGGACTATAATTTTGGGTTGCTGCGGTAAAATTTTGGGCGCGTAACAGTCCCAAAGTTGTTCAGCTGCAAACCAAAGGCGGCATTCCCACTACTTCGGTGAGCTGCTCACCAACATTTGGGACTGTCACGCGCCGAAGATTTTACCGCAGCGCACCAAAACCAAAGGGGAGCTGCTGTCACATACGTTGTTAGTAGAGGTGTTAGGGGGTTTCTGGGACACGGATCTAAAGGAAAGTAACTTTCAAGTCTCTCGACCAATCAGGAGCGAGCTTTAGTTCTGCTCCAACGGAAAGTTAATGTTGCATATGTGTAATATGAAACATTTTTTAAAAAAGTGTAACTGACCAATCAGGAGCGAGAAAGGTTAATGACCAATGAGAAGCGAGTATTTGGTCAGCTGATATTATTTATCATATACTTGAAATAGATCGCTCTGAAAGCCGACACCTATCCGCATGGCGCGGCGCTTGAAGAAAATTATAACTATTCCTAGAAATGTCATGAATTAAAAACTTATACTATATTTTAATTTGATATTTAATTATTCATAGCATTAATATAATTATATTATGTGAAATTTATTTCTTGAGAATATTTTAAAAAATCATATTGTTTTCTTCTCATTAGAACTACGTTTCATATGTATAAAGAGCCTTGGATTTATCGTAAATTATTTTCTGTTTATCAGATACGTTTAGCATGCTTGTTTAGAGATCTTAAGTTTCAGCTTTTCTCTCTTGGGAAAAGAATTTCTCTATGCGTGAAAGAGTCTTTCAAGTTTATTGTAATTTAACACTCCACTTCAGGCGTAGATTGATTTTATGTATTTCAGGTTATAACCGGCGCTTAGAATTTTATCTAAATAATTAATTCTTAGAAAAATGACCTCTTTGTTTAAATGATTTAGTTAATTCTGCTTATTACTATACCTTTAAAAAAGATTTTTTTTAATAATTAAATTCTAAGAAATATAGTTATCTTAAAATTTATATCAAAATATCACATAATTATATTTTTTGGATTTTTATTATGACAATTGTTTAAAGACTTTCAATAATAACAATTTCTTGAAAAAGAATGCTTTGCTTTTAAAAGAGATAATTATTAAATTTAAAAACAGCAAATGAAATTTAAAACCTATTATAACAATACCTTTGTTTTAAAGAATGTTAATGATAGTTATTTTTTAGATGCTATCTTTATGAATATCTTCTTAAATATCAAAGCTTAGGGCGCTTTATATCTACTCTCTCTTCATAACCTTAATTATGTTTTGTCTAAATTACCAGATTGTAAACAATTTTTTCGCGTATAAAAAGATGCTCCTTCAGATGAGCTTTATTCACAAAGTGACATTTGAAATTGAAAGTAAGAAGTTAGTGCTTTATTCTTTTTAAATTTTGAATCAGTGATTAGTGCTTTGCTCTATACTTAAATCAAGTTTTAAAGAAAATGTAAGTGTAAATTATTATAATTTTTTTATATAACAAATCTTTTAATTTTTTAAAATTTATTTAAAGTTTTCAATTTTTTTTTATAGACTTTAAGATGAGTTACACGAAGTTGGAAATTGTTATTTCTGCACCTACTCAATGGCTTTTGGATTCAAGGATAGAAGCTTTTGAAGAAGTGTGCCTAACTGCAATCTCATTTTTAGAAATGAGAGAACAAAAGGGTCATAACATTCAAAATGCTACAATTAATTTTAATAACGTCAAAGTAAAAATTGTGTTTATGGAAACTGGAATTTGGATCCGAAGAGTCGGATTTTCAATCGATGACATATTGGTAAGTTTTAATTATTTTAATCAAATAGATTTCAAATATTAGTGAATATTAATTGAAATGTTATAAAAGTTTTCAAAATTGATTTCTATATTAAAAATGAAAAAAAAATGTTTTATTATTTTCCAGGATGCAGGCAGCTATCATGGATTTAAATTAACATTTGAGGTTCCTTCTCTTTGGGTGGATCATCAGACCGATTTCCAAAAATTAACAAAAGCTTTTATTGTTGCTGCAATTAGAGAAGATTTAAGCTTTACTGTTCAAGGAGCCTGTGAACAAATGGATAAAGATATCTCCGTTTGGAGTGAGAAATATGATGATGTGATGGAATTGGGCATGGTGGACCACCTGAGTGAGGGAGAACAGGATACAGTAGTGGACAACGAGAGTGAGGAAGAGCAAGATCTAGTGGTGGTGGACAGTGAAGAAGAGCAAGTGGAAGAGGAGGAGCGTGAGGGAGTGCAAGATGTACCTGAGAGTGAGGGAGAAAAAGATATTGTGGTGGTCTTGGACAGTGAGGAAGAACAAGTGAAAGGGGGTGAGCAAGAGGAGGAGGAGCGTGAAGGAGAGACTGTGCATGAGAGTGAGGGAGAACAAAATATAGTGGTTGATGATAAGAGTGAGAAAGAACAAGATCTTGTGGTGGTGAACAGTGAGGAAGAACAAGTGGAAAAGGAGCGTGAGGAAGAGACTGTGCATGAGAGTGAGGGAGAGGAGATTATGAATGAGAGTGAGGGAGAGCGAGATATGGAACTTGAAAGTGAGGGAGAGATGGATAATGAACTTGAGAGTGGGGGAAAGCGAGATATGCAAGATGAGCGTAAGAGAGAGGGAGAGCGAAATATGCAAGATGTAGATGAAAGCGAGAAAGAGCGTGAGAGCGAGGGAGAGCGTGAAATACAAGATGTGCATGAGGGAGAGCGTGATATGCGAGATGTGCATGAGGGAGAGCGCGATATGCAAGATGTGCATGAGAGCGAGGGAGAACGAGAAATGGGTCATGAGAGCGAGGGAGAGCGAGAAGTGGGTTATGAGAGTGAGAGAGAGCGTGATATGGGTTATGAGAGTGAGAGAGAGGGAGAGCGTGATATGGGTTATGAGAGTGAGAGAGAGGGAGAGCGCGATATGGGTTATGAGAGTGAGAGAGAAATAGAGATGGGGGATGAACGTGAGAATGAGTAAAAAATAAAATGAAAATGTTATACATAAATATTGTTCTCTTACTTTTAATAACATTTTTTCTAATATGTATTTTCTTTCATATAACGTTTTCACTTATTTTTTCTTATATATATTGTGACGATGTGAATTGTCGTTCTTTATTTTGTCGAAATTCTGAATCGTCATGTCATCTGTCGGAATTATCCCTGAACCGTGATCGTTAATTGGTATGGTAATTTAGAAAGTCGGAACTGCCGTGGGACCCACTATCAGTGGTGAATGTGTGTCGCGCGGCTAGTTAGTAGGAGAGAAAGTGCTAGAGGGCAGAGCCGCTGATGGTTAGAAAGAGACAGAGAGAGGAGAGCCAGTGGAACAAGAGAGAAGAAGAGTTGAAGAAGACGAGCACGTGTGGAGAAAAGCCAGAAACAGGTGTCATTAGTTTTTCGCCGACATTTTGGCAGTCAGTGACCTACGAGATTTGTAAGAGAGTGTTCTATGAGATGTGTAGACAGTATCTTGTAGAAACGTGCGTAAGAGTTCTCTTGTAAAAGTTTTGAGTGTTGTGAGAGAAAGAGAGTTTTGTGTAGAAAAGAGGATTAATAAAGAGTGTCAGTAGAAGTGTAGTGGTTTTCTTTGGATTATTCCTCTATTTATCCCTGGGGAAAATAGCCGCCAAGAAACCAGCAAAAAGGAGAGATTGAGAAACATCGCTGGGTAAGTCAGTATCGGGCCAGTGTAGTACCAGTCGTGTCTCGTCGTTGGCATTTCTGCTTGCCAACTTGTTCAGGCAGAATTTCCTCTGACGATTGAGAGCGTCTCAGAGGTGTTGTTGTTTGTCGGGTTGTTAAAGAGTCGAGCATAGTTTATTAATTAAGCTTAAAATTAATTGGCGCCTGACGGCGAAATTTATTAACTTAAATTTCATTTTATTATTATTGTTGGAAAGCGTCAGATTTTGCTTGACGTAAGCAGAACTTTTAGCTTAAATTAAAATTAGTTAAAATTATACGTCACAATATATATATGTATTTTCTTATATGTATTTTTTCTTTCATATGAATTGTGTATGTATCTTCAATGTGTTATGCATTTTCTGTGAAAGTTGCTTTAAATGAATAAAAATTAATAAAAAATATTCTTTTGAAAATTATTGTGTTGATTTATTTAAATATTTTCTAAAAAATAAATTTCTAATTATTTTTTCCTGTTATGTAAAATTTTCAGATTTTAAAAGTATATATTCGTAAAGTGTGGATAGATGCCACTTTTCTCAAATCTCCAAAAAAAATGGATATATTTATGTATTATTGGTTCTTTTATATCTATTAACCATAAAAAAATTTTTTTTTGCTATAAAGTGCCAGCTGATAATGATGATCATGATGATGATGATGATGGAAGAATATGATAATGAGGGAGACCGAGATTTAGTTGTAAACATAAAGTTATAATATATTTCTTAGTGACTTTTAATTTATAAAATCATTAGTAAGCAATTCTTTTTATTAACATTTATTTAAAGTACCACCTTATGAACAATTGTCATTGTAAAGCAATTTTTAAATAATTATTCTCTCATTTATATTAAAACTAAACTTTATTTACAGTGAATTAAAAAAATAATTTCTTAAATTTTATGATGGTAAAAATTTTTTTTAAAAAAATAATAGAATTTATGAAAGAAATTAAGTTTAAAAGATAACCTTTTGAATATTTCAATACATGTCGCTTCAGTTTTTCTTGAAACTTATGTAAAATGAAGCTTAAAAAATTCTAGTTTTATTCTCAGTAAACATTATAATGAGCAATTCGGTTTGAAATTTAGGAAATTAATTTAAATTTTACAAATATATCAGAGGGTAAAAAATTTGAAAAAATAAATTCCGCTTGGTACATACATTCAACCTCCGAAAATTCTTTTAAATTCTAATTAATATCTCAAATTTCCATGAATTGCCCATTATAATGTTTACAGGGAATAATAATAGCAGTAAATCCTGTTATTTAAAAACAAATTTTTATAATCATAAAACTGAGAAATTTTTCATCTAAAATCACTAACAGTAAATAAATTTTTGGCTTTAATAAATAAGAGAAATAATTATTTTAAAAGTGGTTTTATAAAGTGGTTTGTTTTGAAATAAAATGACCTATATATTTATTTTTTGTTATACTTGAGTGTAGCGGTGGAGCTTGAGAATGCAGGAAAGCAAAAGACTGCTTGAGAGTGAGGGAGAGAAAACAATGGTGAATGAGAGTAAGGGAGAGCAAGAGATAGTGCATGAGGGTTTGGAAGGTGTACAGAAGAGTGAGAGAGATATATGCAAGATCGGTGTGAGAGTGAGGGAGAGCGAGATATTTTCTAAAAAAAATTTATTGTATTTGCTTAAAGAATTAAGTTTTGTCTTTAATAATTTATTTAATTATGAACAACTTTCTGAATTTCTAATTTTTTTTTAGTTTAAATGAAATTTTTAAGTTTTCAAAGTTTATATATATATTTCAAAACTTGTGGATCATGTGTGGCTAGTGAGAACAAACCTATTAAGTATGAAAGTAAGGGAGAGAAAGGGGGGTGCAGCTTGAGAATGCAGGAATGCAAAAGACTGTGCTTGAGAGTGAGGGAGAGAAAACAAATGGTGAATGAGAGTAAGGGAGAGCAAGAGATAGTGCATGAGGGTTTGGAAGGTGTACAGAAGAGTGAGAGAGATATATGCAAGATCGGTGTGAGAGTGAGGGAGAGCGAGATATTTTCTAAAAAAAAATTTATTGTATTTGCTTAAAAAATTAAGTTTTGTCTTTAATAATTTATTTAATTATGAACAACTTTCTTAATTTCTAATTGTTTTTAGTTTAAATGAAATTTTTAAGTTTTCAAAGTTTATATGTATATATTTCAAAACTTGTGGATCATGTGTAGCTAGCGAGAACAAACCTATTAAGTATGAAAGTAAGGGAGAGAAAGGGGGTGGAGCTTGAGAATGCAGGAAAGCAAAAGACTGTGCTTGAAAGTGAGGGAGAGAAAACAATGGTGAATGAGAGTAAGGGAGAGCGAGAGATAGTGCATGAGGGTATGGAAGGTGTACAGAAGAGTGAGAGAGATATATGCAAGATCGGTGTGAGAGTGAGGGAGAGCGAGATATTTTTTAAAAAAAATTTATTGTATTTGCTTAAAAAATTAAGTTTTGTCCTTAATAATTTATTTAATTATGAACAACTTTCTGAATTTCTAATTTTTTTTTAGTTTAAATGAAATTTTTAAGTTTTCAAAGTTTATATATATATTTCAAAACTTGTGGATCATGTGTGGCTAGTGAGAACAAACCTATTAAGTATGAAAGTAAGGGAGAGAAAGGGGGGTGCAGCTTGAGAATGCAGGAATGCAAAAGACTGTGCTTGAGAGTGAGGGAGAGAAAACAAATGGTGAATGAGAGTAAGGGAGAGCAAGAGATAGTGCATGAGGGTTTGGAAGGTGTACAGAAGAGTGAGAGAGATATATGCAAGATCGGTGTGAGAGTGAGGGAGAGCGAGATATTTTCTAAAAAAAAATTTATTGTATTTGCTTAAAAATTAAGTTTTGTCTTTAATAATTTATTTAATTATGAACAACTTTCTTAATTTCTAATTGTTTTTAGTTTAAATGAAATTTTTAAGTTTTCAAAGTTTATATGTATATATTTCAAAACTTGTGGATCATGTGTAGCTAGCGAGAACAAACCTATTAAGTATGACAGTAAGGGAGAGAAAGGGGGTGGAGCTTGAGAATGCAGGAAAGCAAAAGACTGTGCTTGAAAGTGAGGGAGAGAAAACAATGGTGAATGAGAGTAAGGGAGAGCGAGAGATAGTGCATGAGGGTATGGAAGGTGTACAGAAGAGTGAGAGAGATATATGCAAGATCGGTGTGAGAGTGAGGGAGAGCGAGATATTTTCTAAAAAAAAATTTATTGTATTTGCTTAAAAAATTAAGTTTTGTCTTTAATAATTTATTTAATTATGAACAACTTTCTTAATTTCTAATTGTTTTTAGTTTAAATGAAATTTTTAAGTTTTCAAAGTTTATATGTATATATTTCAAAACTTGTGGATCATGTGTAGCTAGCGAGAACAAACCTATTAAGTATGAAAGTAAGGGAGAGAAAGGGGGTGGAGCTTGAGAATGCAGGAAAGCAAAAGACTGTGCTTGAAAGTGAGGGAGAGAAAACAATGGTGAATGAGAGTAAGGGAGAGCGAGAGATAGTGCATGAGGGTATGGAAGGTGTACAGAAGAGTGAGAGAGATATATGCAAGATCGGTGTGAGAGTGAGGGAGAGCGAGATATTTTCTAAAAAAAATTTATTGTATTTGCTTAAAAAATTAAGTTTTGTCTTTAATAATTTATTTAATTATGAACAACTTTCTTAATTTCTAATTTTTTTTTTAGTTTAAATGAAATTTTTAAGTTTTCAAAATTTATATATATATTTCAAAACTTGTGGATCATGTGTGGCTAGTGAGAACAAACCCATTAAGTATGAAAGTAAGGGAGAGAAAGGGGGGTGGAGCTTGAGAATGCAGGAATGCAAAAGACTGTGTTTGAGAGTGAGGGAGAGAAAACAAATGGTGAATGAGAGTAAGGGAGAGCAAGAGATAGTGCATGAGGGTTTGGAAGGTGTACAGAAGAGTGAGAGAGATATATGCAAGATCGGTGTGAGAGTGAGGGAGAGCGAGATATTTTCTAAAAAAAATGTTATTGTATTTGCTTAAAAAATTAAGTTTTGTCTTTAATAATTTATTTAATTATGAACAACTTTCTTAATTTCTAATTGTTTTTTAGATTAAATAAAATTTTTAAGTTTTCAAAGTTTATATATACATATATGTTAGACTGTCTTTCTGTATGACAGAGGAAAATATGATCCAATCAACACTTTTGTTTACTATTTTGAAAATTATGCTCTGCCCACTATAGGTGGGGGACAGCGAGCCTCCAAATGAAGTCAATCTTCCTCATTAGATCATTGTACTTAA